GATCATTAAATACACCACCCAAAATAGCATCACATGCCAGTTTCATTCCTTCTTCTTCCTAACAATGAATATAATCAAGCAAACAATATGAGTTTTTGGTTCAAAAAAAAAAATTTAAAAACAAAGCTGATATTACTGTTAGATTTTCATTCCAGCGGCTTTCAAGTTCTGAAATGGCTGCCATACTTCCTGATCCCATAGATATATATGGTAATTTATCAATTGAACCATGTGGATAAATTGAGTATAAATGTGCGCCACTGTTATCTATGCCACCTAAAATTAAAGCGGCTGAAACATATCCCTAAAATCAAATACATTTTAATAAGAAATAAGAAAAACAGATAACACATAATAAAATATAAACTGAATTACCATGTACTTGAAGAGATACTGACGGAGAGACCTAGCAGCAAATGCAACAGGAACCATTTCATCAGGAAACTTAAATGCTTGCAAAGAAACATTGGCAGACACCATACGAGTAACTTGCATTGTGTCTGCTGCTGTACCAGCACCACAGCAACTAAAACAGTAGAATAATTCATATGTATTAGTTTTCTGACTTAATTTCATTTCAAGTAAACATACTGCATRTATTTGCCAATATAATGGATTTTTTCACAATTTTTTTCCATTACTATTGTGTCGGATGTAGCACGTGTATCAGCAGCCAAAATAACGCAATCACGAGTAGTTACTCCCACAATTGTGGTACCAGTTTTACGAAAACTTGGCATTTTGAGCCCCATTTTTTCAAGTTTTGCATTTCTATAACAACAAAATGAACAGATTATTTAAGTAATATATAAACTTATTGTAGTATGAAAATATACAAGGCAAGGACTAAGTTGAAAAATATTCTTAACTGCAAATTAGTCATCTACATATAATTATTTACTTAATTACAAAAATTAARTTATCTTAACACAATGTTTTATAAAAAAAATAAATATTTGTAATGGACATCAACATTTTACAAAAAATAGATAGATACTTCTTTTTATTTTCATACAGTTCAAATTTATAAAGACAACAATAATTTTGCTTCTCCAAAATTCTTAGCTATGAACTTGTTTAAACACAATCGTTCAAAATTTAAATAAAAGAAGATCAATTATAAAAAATTAAGGTRATAAATTCTAAAAAGAACTTACTCCAATTTAATTACTGGTTGGATATATATTAATTACTCAATTTAAGTTATAAAAGCACCTATTGACAATGTTTGATTGTTTAACATTATCATCACATACATAATTTCTGAATAATAAAATTATGCTATAATAAATAATATCAATAATATTAATTTTTATTTAACATACATTATTGCATAATTAATTCAAAGTTTTAAACATTACCTAYAAAWATAAAGTTTAAATATTTTTAGTCAATACAATGTTTTACTATATTATGTAAGACTAAATGCCTATCCAGCTATAATAATTTAGCATTAAGAATTTATGGAAATGTCTGGTTTATAAATTATAAAACTTAGGCAGCCGGGTAGATTTTAAAATTTAAATAGTTTAAACGAATCACTAAAATAACGAAAACTATCTTGGAAATCGGAATCGCGATTGAGTAAATAAAATTAATATTATTAATCATAATTAGTATAATAATAATAGTGAAGTATAATAATTAATAAAATATATTAGTAGTGTAATAAATAAAACTTCCAAACCTTTCAAGATTCCTGAACGAAAAGGCATCATCATCATCGATGGAACTGTAGTTTAGAGCCATTGTTAATAAGGCAAAAATCTAAAGGAAATTAATTAAGTACTTGAGTAAGGAAACAGAAAAGCACGATACTTTTTATTTTTTTAATTATCTACAGCAGACAAATTAAATATTAAATTAAAAGTTYACAAACTACAAAGGTATGAAACCAATCTAATCTTTATTCTATGGTATGAAATATTTAGAACTAATACAATGTATATAGTTAGGTTGATTGTAATTAACAGTAAAATCGCTTTATCATTGTCAAAGAATATCACACACCACAC